CTCAGTTAGAGAAGTTTTACAGTCAAGAACGCCTCCCACCTGAAGCGATTTGGCAGCACAAATCTTTAGTTCTGTTTAAATGGCGGATTTTAATCTCGTTGGCGTCTATCCAAACATGAAGTATGATGACGAAGTCTTTCAAGGATCATTTTGAGCTAATTGGAATCTCCTACTCGAAGTACACACACGCACACACCCTGTTTATCATAAACTCTGACTAATGGTACTCATCAATCAGGTGAAACAAACTTCAAGGCATTGAAGACTGAGAACCGGAAGTTGCCCTGTTTACCATCAGGGCAGAAGTGATGCATGGGTCAAATGGAAGGGTGTTTCGGGAGTTCCCAAAGCACAACTACTTCATCATGCATGCATAGATGATGCTGTGAGGACGAAACTGGTGAATGTGATTTTGAATGCATTTGAATTTGGCTCAAGAATTCACCCAGACCTGACTAAGTCCACAGGGCGCCTTGTGTAGAGTGGAGAGGCAGCGATTCGTGGATCACACCGTGAGTGTTTGCGTGCCTCATCAAGGGACCTATGAGAGCGGGGCACATGCCTCACTCAGTCGTCTTATAAAGGTGGAGGTGCGTGTGTGTGACCTAATGATATTGACTGAAGCATCCACCTCTCTTGAAGGCTCGGGTAAGTACTTGTCTGTGGCTGGTGCCGACGCTTACTTTCACTTTGGCATCACTCTTATTTGCTGCTACATTTTGTTCCCACTTTGCTTCAATGCTTTACAATAAACCAAAATTGTCTGCAAACAATAGACTCAGGCATTAGGAAAGAAATCAAATTTTACCGTTCGGTCAACTTTCTAACTGAGGTTGGCCACTGGACTCGCTGAGAGGTGATAGTGATTTATGATGCCACACCTCAGCTGCATGGGATAAGGGCGGGACGCCTTCTGATGCGGAGTCGTGCACGGTGCGTAACGATGGTAAAGCGGTCAGCCTCTTCATTCAAAAGGTTACAGTATCGTGGAGTAAATTTCAGCTCTAAATTCTCCGACCGTGAATAGGTTAAACAAACCCAGGCATGCGTAGAAAACTTTGTCACCTCACAGCCATCCACCGCTTTCCAAATAAATCCTCTTGACAATGAAAATTTCAATAATGTAGTGTCGAAAAATCAGCGCTTAACTTGCTCATTGCTTTTTACTGCCTTGAAAATTTATTTGGATGAAGATTTATGCATCAAGTGAATTAATATTAGCATCTTCATGCAATGTTTAGCTTTTGAAGGTCATAAAATTTCCTCCTTAGCAATAAATTGTTAGAGGCGGAAGAACAGGATTTAACAATGAGGCCATTATCCCCAGCTTTGTGAATTTCCTGCCCTGAAGAGCTTTTATAGGTCTCACATCAACAAAGTAGTCTTATTTCTTGGACACGTCAGTTCCATCCTTCCACATCTTTGCTGCACTCCTCCGTCAGACCTCGCTTTTCACACAGTCTCATCCACGATGGTGGTGAGAATGATGATCACGAGAGGTCAGCCAACATTGTCTGGAGTGCGCTTTTTGCAAGCTTAACAAAAATGCTTTGCAAATGCGAAAGCGGGTTGTCGCCTTTGCAGTGGCGTTTTTGGGTTGTATGCATTGGTACGGTGACATCAGCGCAAACGGCTCTTAGAATCGGCTCCTTCACTTTGCTCCTAATTATTACTCTACTCAGAGATCATAAAGAAGTGGTCAACTTCTCAAATAAAACTGTTTAATTTAAAAATGATGCAACTTGGTGTCTGATTTGCCGCTCTGTGGGTCAACACCTCCGACAAAGTGTTCGACCGCAAGCTGTCAGGCATCAAGCTCAACACCAAACATCGAGACAGTTCAAGATGCGAAGAGGACTTGAAGATGCCTTTAGCCTCAACTGTAGCTTGTACAAGTAAAAATTCATTTACTCTCTCAGAACCATGACTGCTGCCATCGACAAGGCGACAATAAGCACCGCCTACGAGGAAGTTCGTAATGACAACGAGGAGACAACATGGTAAGTAGTTAATTCTCCATTACGGCTTTGAATGCATCAATCAGAGTCAAGCGTTTGACAGTCCACATTTGAAACAAGGGCTTTATTAAACATGGGCAAGGTGAAATGGTGATCCGGTACAGTTTGGGTGAAATAGACCGTCTTTTCATACGCAAAACGCTATCGTTAGAATGCTCAAGCTTTAACTAAGTGAATTATCAACTGTCATTTTGAGTGGCCGTTAACGGGTTTTATCTGAATGGATGTGATGTCGTTCTGACCTCTGCCAAATTGTAAAATGCTAAAAATGCAGGCTACATAAGATGGTGCCACCGTCTGGGCCAGTGCATGCGTATGGACAAAATAAGGCATTTGAAGATGAGGCTGCCCAGACCCTTAAAAGTCAGCAATGCTAAGTTGACATCCTTCAAATAAAAGAATTCGTATCTGCAAAGTGACATCGACTCTTACACGTAAAATGTGTCACAATGTTTCCGGTACGAAGCTATAGCATAGACTTTATTAGCGTAAAATATTTTTTTATGAGGACAGACATGGCTCCATTATGCATCGACTTTTCAATACTTATAGTTATATTTTATGACTTTGATTTGCTAAAATGTGAGGCTGTTTGATTTTCTGCTTTGTCACAACAAACGCCAGCAAATAACTTAACTGTTGTCTACCATTTTACAATAGGATGTGTGTCGGTGATCAAGGCGGAACACTGACAGTACTAGAGAAGGGAACAACTTTCAATGAGATCTACGCGCTTCTGGACTCAGCAGCCCGATTGTTCTTCTTCGTAAGACTAACAGTAGGAGACGAGATGAGCAAACGTGCCAAATTTGGTCTCATTACGTGGATCGGCAACGACTGTAGGCCTATCCAAAAAGGTCGCGTAGCCTCAGAAAAGTCCAGAATCAAGGAGTGCATTCAGGTTTGCTACTTAATTAATATAAGTAAACATATTTTTCATGCTAGTTAAATTACCATAATGTTCATCGTTAGGTCTTAAGTTGCGTTAAGATGCGCTTCTGGTTGAATGCAACTAAGAATAATGGATTTTAATTGGCACTGGTTACTTAATTTTTGAAGCGATCGGTGCTGTTACAATGTTTACGACAACAATCTTTTAATGGAAGTCTTTCAAGCAACACCGCTGTTTCTCCCTGAAGCTGATTTATTAAAATCTGCATTGATTTTCCAGCTGCATAAAATGTTGTTATAATTGCACATAATTCTTGATTGCCCCCTTCAAAGCCTTTCTTGACATTTGTCATAAAAGTGACAGCACGGCTGTGGTTGGTGCCCTAAATGTAGTGGAGATGGAGACCTTATTACTACTTTGCACATTTTCGAGAGAATTCCTTATAACTGCAAGCGCCTATGCTCCACATAAAAAATGTTTTGTGGAAGATCCTCAAGTTTACTCATACGTCAAGTTTTCTTTACAAAGAAACTCTACGTTATTCCGATCTAAGCACCTAGTAATTTCGCTTTGCACGAATAGCCTTGCTCCAAAATACGCCTTAAAGGCATCGAATAAGTGCAGTGCTCAAAGTGTCGCAAAGCGTATCTCCCCAGTAAAAATTAATTTCCGCTCAAATGACCTAAATACCTTTAATGCATTAAGAATTTCTTGAAGGTAACTCTATCCTTTTATCTGCTTGCTTGCATGGCAATTTGTTGGTCCTCAAACTGACTGAAATCGCCGCCTTTAAAGTCAAATAATCTAAAAGCCCTTAAGTACAAATTAAAGTCCACCTTCTCTTTCTGTCACACGGCTGGGACGAGTTTTGTATTTGTATTACTTGTAGCATTTTACGAATGTAAATGGCGATTTCTGTTAGGAAACCTGTGATTGGCGTTTGCTTGATAACCCTCTTCGAACGAGAAGTGGAAGTGCTTGTCACTGCCTCTATCACCCATTATAAAATCCATTAACAGTACTTTGAGGCATTTATAGTTTGGCAGAAATCACCTTCATCCCAGTGACAAGCTTTGCTGTCATGGTGACAACGGTCTGTTGGACATACTGGCATTCACTGCCTCCCTTCGCACCTAATCAAAACAAAATCGCAGCCACTTGAAACCCACTACTAAGTATCTCTACCAACTTTTCTGTCCACGCAGCTAATCGGAAGTTCAGCAACAACGACAATCTATTTTCTTCTCGACGATCTCGAACACAGAGATTTATTCGGATGTTTTATTTTACGAATCGCCACACCTCTTCCGTCTTAGAGATCTTTTGGAGAAATTTAATTTTAAGGGCTTCTGGTTGACTCCGTTATAAATGGTCAAGAGAGTGATTCACCAATCGCAACTGCCAATAACCCCGATCGCATGACGACGGAGGCAATTTAAAAACAATTCACTGAACGTTTTTTGCAACTTGAGAGTCTTGCAACGAAGCATTTCGCTTTACATGACCATTAGGCGGTTGTATATCTTGCATTCTGTTGGCAAGCCTGCTTTCATTATTTGTAGTGACACCCCAAGGACGTATACAAGCTTAAATTTATTGCACAAAGCGAACTTTATGCGGTTGAAAAGGATGTTGAAAATATGAAATGTTTGTTTGTGGATTTTAAAACCTGTGGAGGTTTTGCAAAATGAATAAAACGCTAATGTTCTGTGACAAACAGATGGTTGATTAATAAAATGGCAACAAATGAGTAATTTGCACTTCTTAACTTAGCAGGCTGTAGCGTAGATTAATTAAAGTTGTGAGAATTTCAAAAAATGAGACTTATGTTGGTATTTTAAACATATAATTTGGGAATAGAGGGCTCGCGTCTTGCAAAAAATGTGTCGACGAGGTCAGCAAATGCACCCACTGGCACCCAACGTGACCAGACGGCTGACACCTTTTTTTTCGCAACAACGAATTTTTTTAGAACTTTGCGGTGGATCTCACCTACAGTGAGGCGGCTGATCTTACTCAGGAGGCTGTGGAGGAGGCAATGAGGAGAGCAGGCGGTGCAAATTATGGTCGCGGTTAAGTGGCCGGTGTGCAGATTTTTCCTCCATTATCATTCAATAAAAATCGTGCACCTCAGAAAAAAATCTTTCAATTTACAATTTTACTCCAAGCATAACACGATTTTAGGATTTTCGTCCAATTTTTTAAACGAAATTCGCAGAGCGGAGGGATAAAATGTGCAAC